GCTGGGGTAGGAAGGCCCTGGGATAATCTCACAGAACAGATCTTAAGGTTATGAGGCCTCTCATTCTGCACCGTACAGCTAACAACCTCACCATGTGATCTAGTGAATATAACAAAATACTCAAACATAGAGTCATATACTGAAAGTGTCTCCTCTCAGAGACTCTGTTTATGGATGCAGACTGAGCCTTTTTCTTTCGCTTTCAATCTGTCTTTATGTCTGTATGTCTTATCTGTCTGTCTGTCTCTCTCTCTCTCTCTCTCTCACACACACACACACACACACACTGTGTAAGAGTTACAGACCTGGACTGGGGGTGTTCACTCTCTCTGCATAAAAGCTACAGACCCTGCAGGAAACTGAACTGTATTCGTAAATAAGAGCTACAACCCCAGACTGGGCCTGATCTCTCTCTCTCTGTCTGTATACGAAATGCCCAGACTGGGCAGCTCTGAGTGCATGATGAATGACTTCTGCATTACCTGAACCCTCCTGCAGCCAGTGGGCTCTTAGTTGTTGTGCCTAATTGCTGAGGCAGAGCACAGTGCCTTGGTTCTGCTGCATATTCTTACCCAGGTAGTTTCCTGAGGCCTCACGCCGCTGCCAATCTCATCGTTTCTTAAGCTTCACAACTCAGACAAACCTCTTACAGCATCATGCGTACAGGTGAAGCAGGTTTTACACATTTTAAGACACATTTGGGTGATGTTATAAATTAATCAACTAACTGAAGCAGAATCGACAGTCTGAGACAGAAACTGGCTCGTGCATCTTCCCGCTGACATGGATACACCCCTTATGCAGACAGGGGAATAGTCTATTTTTAGCAGCAAATCTGTAACAGGATCAGGTGAGTATGCTATTAGTTGAATGTCTACTGCCATCTGGTTGGGCTACACAGGTCTCTGACCAACCACAGCGGTTATGATGGTTGTGTTTTTAGTCATGTTATCTCGATTTGCATTTTATCTTTGAGCCACAGACAACGATACTGATAAAACAACAGATCTGTGCTAAAGTTCTATATCGTAGTAACTGATTCTGGAAAATTTATATTTATTTAAACACCAATATATTAGAGATCTGATCTCTCTTTATTTTACAATACAATCTTTATTTATTACAACATTTAGAATATATTCTAGCAGAATAAAATAGTTCTGTCTTTTATACAGATCATGACCTGGCTGTTTTTCTTTATCTTGTTTTAATAGAAATAAAAAAAAAAAGCAATGACAAAATAACGGATTAAATTAATTTTGTCATGTGTGGCCTATGAAGTGTATCTCTTCAAGATAATGAAAAAAAAACTCTGAAAGCTGACCTGCATGTATAACCAGCACTGTAATCATTGTCTCTTTCTCACTCTCTTAGTATTCAGAATGAAAGGAACTCCGTTTTGCTGTTGCAGGTACGCAGACTGTCTGTCAGTTGTAGGAATGTTATAAATGATGTAGCCAGAGCAAATATTGTTTTTATCATTTATTGTTTGCCGCCCTTTTGTCTTGTTTTTTTTCTTAATATAGGGGGGTGTTCATTACAATGTTCATCTGCCCCACACACTCTCCATCTCCCCAGTCCACAACTGAATTTTCTTAATCATCTTCTGCTTAAAATTTACACCTTTTCCTATGGAAGCAGAAACTACCACCCTGAGAGAATCCCGGTCCCGGCCACTCCTGAGGACCCCAATGTTCAAACATACCAGCAAATTATTCTACATTATTTGATATTTAAACTGAGGGGGCACCCGCCCCCCTTCACAGATGTAGGCCAAGGTCACCCCAAGGTGACTGCCAAGGGAAGCCACAGCTGATTTATAAGAGCAATTAGTGATCTGGCAGAAGCCCAGGTCAGAGTGGGATAGCTCGCCCTGGGGAGCGGATGACAGTGTGCGACCTCCACTCTTCCATCAGTTTGTTCCCTGTGTGCTTGTACCCCAGAGCAACCTGATTAGAGAAAGACTATAGCTGGATTGCTGCCTGATCTCAGCTGGACCCCTGCCTTCCACCACAAAGCACGTTATTGTGACAGCGATTTCCACTGATCACCTTTCTACATGAGCTGTGGTCTTCAGCACTCTGCATGGAAATATGCTGGTTGTATGCTTTGGCTGTATGTTTTATTTGTCTGTTCTTTTGCTCATGTCCGAAGGCCGGGTTCTGTGGCGTGTTTACAGTCCGCTTATTTTTGAGCAGATATTTAAGCAGATTAACACAGATAATATAGATACATTTCCACAGGATGACTTGGATTTTAGACGTTTTTTTCTGAATGTACACAGTGTAATATTTACCAGAGTTATATGGATAGTGTCAATGCCCTTGCTTGTCTGTTCTCAGGAATCCAGCAGTGACCTGCCGTGATGTCATCCATTCTTCTCTTGGAGTGTTGCCAGGACGACGTGAAAAGCCGGAAAGTTCCTGCTACGTTCTCATCCATGGACACAGTCACCTGACCTCACAAATGCAGCCACCCATTAAACATTCTTTTCCACGAGCATGAATATGCATGCATACAAGAACAGAGTGGATTTCTATATGTCACAATTAATGGAAATAACTTTTAAGGAAAATCAGTTGTCTTGTTTTTTTAATAAAGCGGGGTGTTAATTACAATGTTCATCTGCCCCTCACCCTTTCCATCTCCCCAATCCACAACTGAATTTTCTTGATCATCTTCACACCTGAGGCCACTGCAGGTGTGTCTGGACAAACAGAGACAGGAAAGGAAAGCATTTCGTCATGCTGCATGTGCAGCTGTGCATTTTGGGCCATTTAAGAAGCATGTTCTGACCAGCCAACTTTGGTGACAAGGAAAAGACAAAAAACACATACCCGTAATTCATGAACACATATGCACACAATCTCATATGCACAAAATAACATTTGAAGAAATAGGTAATAAGGAGGAACGTAGCCACACAGTACAATAAGGGTTTGAGCCCCTCACCCCTCAGCAGACACATAGCTCGGTAGTAAAATAACAAAGTTGACCACACCTCAAAATTTGTCAAACCCCCCCAATTAATTTCAGCCTGTGTTACAGTCACATTACAGCAAAAACAGTGTGAAATATAACATTCTAATAGCAGGTTTAATGGTTGTGTCATTTTGGGGAATAAGCACATTGCACAAAGATGTATTATTTTTTTTTACATTGTTACCTTTATATAAACCAAAAAAGTTCATTTTATAATTCCTAATGTTGTTTTGTGTTCAATCTATTGATAAGTCCTTTATGTATAGTATTATAGTGGTGATGCAATATATAGTGACTATAACTATTATGAAAAAGAAATTGTTTTGTGAACAGTATAGCACCACATCTGTTGTGAAATGACTGTGTTTTTTCAGTGATTTGTAGTCTTGGTGAGTAGCTTTTTTTCTGTGCCATTCTGAAGAACTGAAGGAACATAAATAGAGCATATGTACTGCATTAAATCATTCCAGAGAAACTGACGCATTTAAAGCACACCTTTAGAGACAAATCCAGGTGCTGCAGCATACTCACACAGTGTGGGTGTTCATATGTACCAGTGATTATACAGATCCTGTCTCCCCTCCCCCTGCTTCACTGGCAAACCCCTGCTTCACTGGGCTTATTGTAACTTCCCAGAAAGTGCTATATCTCATCCAAACATCACTCATTTTCATGGAAATGTTTTAATGGCTTTTAGACCACTGCTTTATGTCAGCTATGGTGAGCAGTTTTTAGCTACAGCTATGCAGAAAAACAAGAAAACAGAAGGTGAACAAAGAAAAGATCAGACTGATCTTGGTCTTCTCTGAGAGCTACTTACGATAGATATGAGCTCTAATGCTCAATGCTTACATACTGCTTATATAATAAGCTTTTTATTTGTGTTTTGTATGAAACTCTGACATTTCAGCATCAGAGGCCCAAAGTCCAGCTTTATAAAATACACGCCTCCCACGTGGATTATGACTTAAACCAGCTCAACTGCAGGTTGGAGAGCAAGCCTGGTTTTTTCATGCACTTACCGTTTTGAGTCTTCTCTGTTTTGTAAATAGTCCTCCATTAATACTGTTGCTCCTGCTGGCTATTTGTGTATAAGGCAGTGTGAATAAAGGTTTACAACTGTAACTTATGTGAGTCGTCTAGGGCTGGGGTGGCGGGTGT